GAGTCCGGTGACTCGTCTTCGGATAAGGCCGGATTTAATAATTAAATTTAATTATTAATTATTTAATAAACGTCGAAAATTCATATCTTCTTCATACGAACTCCCTTTTCAACGTTCTTTATATCCACGCGAAGGTAAGACTACGCTCTATAGCTTTCGTTTAGACTACGTCGGCTAAATTTGACTTTATTTTTATTATTTGTTTTTAATAGGCCGGGGCAGAAAATTTCGTTATAAATTCATAACTTCTTCGTTTGACGTCCGTTGTCATCTAACTTTTTATCGCTTTGATACTAACAACGAGATCTTCGATTCTCGTTTAGATCACTAAGGCTAAATATCGCTCTAACGTAAATATCACTTTTTACGTCATTCAACGGTGCTGGTTTTGTCGCGAAACTTCGACAGGTCATAACTTCTTCGTTATAACTCGGATTTCGGCATTCTTTATATCTTCGGAAACCTTGTTTCAACTACTACAACATTATCTAAAGATATCAAGTTTATTTTATACTTAAATTTTGACGCTTATTTTTATTCTTAATTAATCAAACCACATAATTAAGCAATTAAGCACAAAACACATAATACTCAAATAATACACTTCTATTATTTCAAAACGGGTTACAAAGGTTAACCTAGACTATTACATTGCTAAAAATGTCAAGCCCAGAAACACAGGCGTTACATAAATGCTTAGTGAGTTCCCCAAAATACCACATACAACACATATTAGCCACTAAAGGCTATAACTTTGTATGACCCTCTGGTCAATGTGTCTCAGTGGGACCATCCAGTCCCATAACTCTATAGACCCACTGGTCCTAACTCTATGGACCTTCCGGTCCTAACTCTATAAACTCTGAATCATACATAGCAAAAATCACATAGAAATCACATCATGAAAAAGCATAGAAGATACTCTATCACATAACTCTAATTACCACTATAGGTAAAGTATAGTGAGAAGACTCACCTTGGGTAACTCGGTAAATCTCGAACTCAGAAATATTGGTCTAGCCTCCGCCTAATCACATAGAATAATCATTCTAATCAATACGACTCTAAAATTCTAGGCCAAACTCCCTCTAGGTTCTATCAGAAGGGTAAAAGGCCATTTTACCCTTCCCGTGGCTCAAAGGTCCAAACATTGGCTAAACCCTAAAAGTAAACAAAAGTCAACCCTCCGGGTTACGCGGCGCGTACCAAATATGTACACTGAGCGTACCCGGCAACTTCACATAAATGGGGAACGCGACCCCCTACGCCACGCGTACTGGGATTATGCGTCGTGTAAGTCCCAATTTCGTACTCCTTTATATTTTGGGTCTTAAACGGTTAAGATACACGTTCAACTCCCAGATCTGACTATTCTATAGCCACTTAACCCATAAAGTCGGTGACTTTAAGCCTTTGCATGGTTGTAGAAGTCACCAACACTCAAATCATTCCATTTCCATCCTTTAGAAGCCCATAACTCAAACATGGTCAGCTCTTAATGACCAAGACTGGATTTTTATGACATAGAAACCCAAAATAAGCTAACATGGGACAAATCTCAGGTCCTAGGGGTTTATTAACACATAAAGTTATCATCTTGGGGAACAAAACCCTAAAACATCCCCATACAAAACAAAAACACAAAAGAAGGAAAGCTTGAATCTTTTTACCTCCAAATGATGTTCCTACCTTTGCAAAGCTTAGATCCAAAACTTGCACTCCAAGACTAGCTTCCAAAATGGTCCTGTCTTCTTCTTCACTAACACATTAAGGGAATTTTAAGCTCCAAAGCACACACAAGGGTTAAGAACGAAGGGTAGCTCTCACTTAGGGTTTCACTCTCGGAAATAGTGGTTGAGGATAAGGCCATAACATTCCTTATATATTGCACAAGTCTCATTTAGGGTTTTGAGTCTCGGCACGCTACGCCCAACGTACCGGGTGGAGTTCGTGTCCATAACAGGCCCATGAGTATGCTCAACGTACCTTATTAGTACGCCCAACGTACTTACTAGCAACACTTTCTCTTTTAGGGGGGCTAATCTTGACCACTTTAAAACCTGAATTTCGGGATGTTACACATTTCATCAATTTCATGCACTGAGAAAGTATCCATGTCGAGTAAGTCCACGTACTTTCTTCCAAGAAATTTGGTGAATTCTCCACCATGGTACAAGCTAATGGAAAAGAATGTCGGATCCCCCTCCCCCCCCCCCACCCCGGCCCATGTGAAATAACCCACTTCAGATTAGGTTACAACAAAATCAAATTTATAGAAGATTGAGAGTAAAAGAATGATTATAGTAATGACTTCCAAAATCGATTTCCTCAATATTTGCACATATACACCACAACACCATTGCGTTTCAGAGACGAAGATATCACGATTAGGGTTTTCTGATCTTGAGTGTGTGAAATTTTTGACTGGGTTTTTTGAATGGTGAGATGGAGTACTAAGAAAATGATCGCCCATTCGTATACAACATGGCAGTAACACTCTAGAATATTAAAATGAGAAAAATTTCCCTGCGTACCTTGCACGTAGAGTGTTTTAACAGAGAACCTATACAGAATATTAAGTCAGGCGGCGAGTTACGGTTTTAACATTAGGGATCATCCAAGTTAAAAATCATGCTCAGGGACTAAGTGCGCAGGTTCCCCCAAACCACATGGACCATCCGTGTAATTTACCCAAATTTGTATTTCAAAAATTGATGGACTTATTTAATAAGTCTATAATTAAACAATTAGTAAACTAAGCATAGTAAATTGAATTGTGATCATTGTTCTCTTATATGTAATTTATATTTTTTACACCAACAAAAATAATAAAATTATACGTTTCATGCAAGTAATATGTGAGTTAACATATAGTTCAACAAAAATATATATAATTTGTCTAGTAGGAAGGAGCTAAAAGCATGTTTGAAAATGTTTTGAGATAAGCTAGAATTTGTTGGAAGAATTAAAACTCAAACAAATTAAAATAAAAATAATTTGAATATGCCATGAACCATGCCTTTGGTTAACATAAATTGAAACGGAATTCTTTGACTATTTGGTTTATAATATTGAATTGAGTTTAATCATATAAGATGAACAATATTGTTTGTCATAAAAGAATAGTTGTTGAAAATCAATTAATAAATAAACTTCCTATATCTTTCTTTTACATCACGTCTTTCTATCGAATACCACCTGATGGGCTTCATATCCTACCGCTACAAATGAAAGGATGTAGGAGAAATATAATGATGAATTTCCAATTTTTTTTGAAGTAAATCAAGTTTAGGGATGAAGTTTAAGAACCTTGGATGATTGCAATGAAAATTTAATGCAAAATGACATAGTTTGATGATGTTAGGTACCTAAGTTTATATAAGGTTGTTAGGTATATTCACTTTACCTTATATATATATATATATATATATATATATATATATATATATATATATATATATATATATATATAATGTTCTTTCTATTTAATTTAAATTTTTATTAATAAAAAATAGCCTCCCTCCCTCAGTCATCCCTTTAGGCGTAGCGCCCAGGTTCATCTTCTCTAGATTGAAGAAAATCATAATCGTCATCTTCACTACTGTTCAGGGAGACCAAATCGCCCACCTTTATCACCGTCCTCACCACCAAAAACCACCACATGCTCCACCATCTTCACCGTCGTTTTGACCTACCAAACATCATCCAATCATCCCCCCAACAATGACCTCCAATTTCACCTTATAGTTTTCATCCATTAGTTACAAAGTCCAGACATTATGTTGATTCTGTATTTAATTGCATAAGACTAACAAGTAACAACAAGAACTGAAACCCAAATGAGTTCCGTTGTTCTTGATTATCAAAAACAGTGAGTTCAAGCATGATCCAAACCTCAGAAGAACCTCATTACTCCTCTTCTACAAAAAAAAGGCATGATTGGAAAAGCACAAAACCCATCCTTCTTCTTTGCATAAAGTGTCTTGTGTGTATGTTCTTTTTAGTAGCCTACGAACTCCAGAAAAAATCAAGAGAGATCTCTTTACCTTGATTTCTGATTTGTGGGTTTGGGATGGAGATGGTAGTGACGATCATCCCAAAACCAATAAATCTCAAATAAAAACCCAGAAAAATTGTCAAAAAAAAACCCACAAAGTGTTGCATCTATCAACAAAGGAAGAGTGTGTGTATGTTTAATCCTCAGAAGATGCAACCTTTTGTTTTGTAAAAATTGTAAAGAAAAATGGTTGTGTGGTGATAAAAGATGAACAGAGGAAGATGATGGTGGATTGTGTTATTTTTTGTGTGTGTAAGAGAGAGAAATATGAGTCGTTTTTAAAATTAAACTAGGTGTTTCACCCGTAAAATACAAGGGTTTTTTATTTTCAAATAATATATTTTGTTAAGCATTATATATTTAATACTTTATAAAACTGAATTTAAAAAATAAAAAATCAATATTAACAGTGAATAAACCAATTTTTGCAAGGTTTCTGCAAATTATCGTGAACTCAAAAGAAATCGCCGAAAATTATGTTTTTCAGTTAAAAAAATTGATTTAAATTTAAATTGAATTTAATACATTAACTGACGAATTACGTGAGAATTTATTGAGACATTTAATTTTCTTTATTTTCTATATTATATTTTTAGATTAGATTCTTTTATAATTTAATAACAAAACCAAAAAAAAAAAAAAAAAAAAAAACAATAATTTACCAATTGTATTTTAATGAAATTTAAAAAATTAAAAAAAAAATATCATGTGACATATTAAATTAGATGAAGACATATAGCTAAAAACATTTGTTTATTAGGTAGGATAATAATAATGATTTAAGAAAATTAAGGAAAAATGAAAAATAAGTATATGAAGGGTATAATAGTCTTTTAAGTTTGGCCGGGGCCTAAAAACCACATCCAAACATGCTTAAAAGGGCCACCGATCCAAAAAATTTGAGGTTTGGACTAAACCTCAGAAAAAATACATATCATAGGGACCATTTTTGCAGTTTTGTCTTATTTTTATAAATAAGTTTCTGAATTCCAAAAAAATTAAAAAAAAAAAAAAAAAAAGTGGGCACATTTGCCTTCACTTAATCCCTTCCATTCCATTCCCATTTCCATTTCCATTTCCAACTATTTACACTTGCCCTTCCTTATACAAGTAAAAGTCCCATGGCAGGTCAAACCTTAAAGTCAACTCCATCCCCATAAAAAACCATTTCATCCAAAATCAAGAATCTGCAAAAAAAAAAAAAAAAAAAAAAACAACAACAACAACAACAACACATTCTATCAACTTTTTGCATACCCTTTTAAAACTATTTGAGGGGAAAAAAAAAAAGATTCAATGGATTTTAGTGAAAAAAAAAACATACCACTGCTGATTCTTTCTGAATTCTGTAAGCACAGGATATATGTTCTCAAATGCGGTATAAGTCTCATCTCTAACCTGAAAGGGCAAAATAGGAAAACATTAAAGTGAACTTATTACTTATGGAATCAAACATTCAAAAAAGTTAAATAAATTATCACACCTTAGCTCCTGTAAGAACAATCTTCCCAGAAACAAAAATTAGTAGAACAATTTTCGGTTGTTTCATTCGATATATCAGTCCCGGGAACAACTCCGGTTCATACTGTATCAAGAAACAGACATGTCATGTCAAACACAGTACATCCTCATCTATCATGTCATGTCATGTCATATCATGTTATGTCATGTCATGTTATGCTTACACTTGAAAAGGCACCATGAGAGTATGCAAGGCCTTCAAGTCTAATGGGAAATTTTACATCACATGACCCCACAATGTTTTGAATTTTGAAATCCTAAAATCCATCATCATAAAACAATACATCATGTTAAAATTTGTTTTTAAAAAAATTGTAAGACTTTATATATTGATAAATGTGATTTATGGTGAGTGATTTACCTTAAATTTGGCTGGAAACCCAAGTTTCTGAATAATTCTTGCATACTGAAGCAACAACATTATGCATAACATGATAAGGAGAAAATAAGAAAGGAAATTAAGAGAATAGAATGTGTTGTTGACTTGTTTCTTTTTTTACTTAATTGTGTTTCTTTTACTTAATTCACAAAAAAGAATTGACTTAATTGAAAAGGTCAACCTTCCGTGCTGCCAATTTTGACTGTTGTTCACTCTTGGCTCCTGTACATACCTAAAAATAATACGTGTCAATTTTCTTTTTATTGATTTTATACATAAAATGTAAAAGAAATGGTTATTTTTAGAACAATAGAGAAATTAACTTACCATTTTTCCAGAAGCAAAGATTAAGGCTGTTGTTTTTGGTTCTCTTATCCTCATAATTACAGCAGCAAAACGCTGAGTAACAATAACAATAAATGAAGATGTTATCGAGTTTTATTTTCATTAAGAAACATAATTACCAGTTTATATATAGAGTAATAGAAGAAGAGTTTTTAACAATCCTTCAATTTCCCTAAGTGTGTTGCCATTTCCTCAAACGATTTTTAAAACTTCTTTAATCTAAACAATATTGTAACTTGTACCTTTGGATTATATTCAGCATTACGAGCTTGTAGTGCAATTGCCTTCAGGTCTAGCTTGCAATCAAGATTCACAGTAGACACGATGTTTCTATAAAAGTAAATTTCCATCAATCAAGAAGATGATTAGCTCATTACAACATATATACTCACATACGCATGCTAAAGTATTCAAACATAAGGAGATGATGATGATGATGATGATGATGATGATGATGACGATGATGATGACACTAAAAGGGATAATAAAATTACTTACTGAAGAGTAGGAACGATTCCAGATGGATGCTTGGTTAGATCAACTGGTTGGCTACCCTCCAACACATGCTCTGCCATATAATCCTTTTACTGTTTTGCACAAATGTTAGGTTAAAAATGTAATACTCGGACACCAAAAATCAAATAAACTATTTTCTCCGACATCGAAGGAGGAATTGCAGATGTATACACAAAAGATTCACGAATACAGACGAAATTAGGTTTATTAAATTCCGATATAAGTGAGTAGCTACAGTTACAAATTTACAATACTAACGGATCGCTCAGGTGTAAATCGATTACTATAAAACTTTGATTCATCAAACATAAAACTCGTTGGATTAAGGAAAAAAAAATCGAAAAATCTGAAGAACAGACATGTATTTGACCTTTTGGGGTGTGGGGTATCACTAATGCTCCAAATCTACAGCAGAAAACTGAATTGAGAATAAGACAGGATCTAGATCGGTGGAAATCGTGAAAAGGGATTGAACAAAAAGCGGTGAAATTTTGAAAAGGGGGATCTTATATATGAACAGATGATGATTTATAGGTTCTTGTGGAGAGGGATTTGAGACAAAGAACACGAGGTTTGCCGGGAAAGATCTTAGATGCGATGAAGACTTTGTGGTGGGTGGATGATATTTCGCCTTTGGGGTTTCTTGTATTTATAAAGTTCCGAAAACACCCTTCGTGAGATTTATGGTTGTTGTTGAACCGTGGGTATAATCGTAAATTGAGGAGCAATAGACATCAATAGTGACAGTGTGGTTTTGACTTTTGAGTTTTGAAGCTTTGGTAATTGGGCTGTCACAAATTCGCTGTTTTTGGGCTTTAACTTATAAAGAGTGATAACTGATGAGCTTTTATATGTAGATTACGAAAACTGGGCTCATAGTGCAAATAAAATGATGGCTTATGATTAAGGTATTATTTGTTTTTTCGAAACGAAAATGTTTTAAGTTTGTGGATTACCTCTGCAATCATTTGTAACAGAAGAGGTGGAACAAAAGGCTGTAGCATTTAATAAAATGTTTGTTTGTTTTTTAATATCTGCAGACTACTGTAGTAAGTTAAAGTAAGGCGTGAAGATGTTTGAAGCGGTTGGTTTAGTGCTGCGACACGCAGCACACGCGCAAAAGTTTTTAAGTCAGAAGTCTTCAGGAAAACAAACAGCTACGAAAGACCAAATGTTGCGCGTGTATTGCACGGCACAACAATAAGTGATTTGAAATCCTGGCACTACTCAGCCCTTGTGGCCATGGAGGTTCGCCTGCAGTGACTCCAGGGCATGAGGCAAAGCTTTATGTTTGCAGCGGGGGATTAGTCGGTGCGCGAAAGCTGGCCCGGAAACCCTCGTTAGGGAAGTTCCCTTTCCAAACAAAATAAGTGATTTAAAGTGATTTTTTTTTAAAACAAACAGCACCTAAGAGGTGCACAAACCGGTTTTATAGAAATCGGATCCAATTTAAAATCAGTTCGTTTTGAGCTAACAAAGTCAAAACCGGATTGGATTAAAACAGTTCGAACCGAAAATTATCTGAACCTAACGGTCTGGATCAGGAAAAACTAATTTAGAAAAAACCGACATATGCTTAAAAAATCAAACTTTTAAATATTTTTTGATTTTGAAAAATACATAAAAACATGAAAGATAACAATTATAATGGCTTGCGGTAGGTGTTTTTGAATTTTTAAATATTTGAGAGTGATGTGATTAAACTAACACATCCATTATGCAAAGAAGACTATAAAACAACTATATGAGGTCGTTGGGTATAAAATAAATAAAAATTATAAAAAAAGAAAAAAAAAAGAAAAGAACTGATAGCTTCCCAAACCAATTGGACTAAACAACTTCTGTATAATTCGATGATGATTATACTAAAAATTCGATAATAATTAACTTTTTGGACCCAAAGTATCGTGTACCCTAATAACATACAGGGAAGAACAGTGAGTATAAATTCATGCGCAGAAACACCACAGCTCTCTTTTTTACAAAGTTTACAGGAACATGGAAATCGCAACAATGGCGCAAGCGACACAGCTACATGCTCAATTACTGAAACACCAACAAACGGATCCTCAAAACCTAAGCAAAATATTCAATTTCACAGCTCTATCACCCTCCGGCAACCTCACCTACGCCCGTCACATTCTCAATTCCCTACAAACCCCAACGAATTCTTATTTCCATAACACCATGATACGAGCGTACTCGGACTCATCTGACCCGTTTCAGTCCATCTCCCTCTTCCTCACCTGGCATAATTCTCAAGACCCCTTTTCCCCTACACCCGACAGGTTTACTTACCCATTCGTCCTCAAAGCTTGCTCCAAACTAAAACAAAAAAGATTCGGAAAACAGCTCCATGGGTTGATATACAAGTCTGGGTTTTCCCCCGATTTGTACATCCAAAATGCCCTGATCCATTTCTATTCCGGTTGTGACCAAATGGGGTTTGCATCCAAAGTGTTTGATAAAATGCCTGAGAGAGACGTGGTTTCTTGGACTTCAGTAATCAATGGTTATGTTGACAACAAAATAACCCTTGAGGGGTTACGATTGTTTGATAAGATGGTAATGGAGGGTTTTGAGCCAAATGACGTTACTGTCCTTTCTGTTCTTAGAGCTTGTGCTGATACTGGAGCTTTGAGTGTTGGCATAAAAGTAAACGACTTTGTTAATCTTAAAGGCACCCAGTTGAAAAAGAACGTTGTTACTGCTCTTATTGACATGTATTCAAAATGTGGGTGCATAGATAGTGCATTGAGAATCTTCAATGAAGCAGACAATAAAGATGTTTATGTTTGGACAGCAATGATATCAGGACTTTCAAGCCATGGACTATGCAAAGAAGCTCTTGAATTGTTTGAGAATATGAAGAATCTTGAAATAAAACCAGATGAGAAGACAATGACTGCTGTATTATCTGCTTGTAGGAACATGGGATGGGTTAATGAAGGTTTACAACATTTCAAGAACATCAAGAAAGTTTACAAACTAAAACCAACTTTACAACATTATGGATGCATAGTAGATTTACTTGCTCGATCTGGACAACTAGAGGAAGCCCAAAAGTTTATAAAATCGATGCCAATCGAACCCGATTCTGTAATGTTTAGATCTTTGATTTGGGGTTGTAAGGTTCATGGAGACACAGAAAGATTGGAGCATTTGATTGAACAGTTTCAAGATTCTTGTTCTGATTGTGGGACTTATGTGTTACTTGGTAATGTATATGCATCAAAAGGGAAATGGAAAAACAAAGCAAAAGTGAGAAGTTTAATGAACAAAAAAGGGCTTGTGAAACCATCAGGGTATAGTCGAATTGAAATCAATGGTGAAATCTACCAATTTACAGCTGGAAGTACTTGTAACATTGAGGCAGAAAGTATTTATAAAAAGTTGGAAGAAATAGAGGAGAGATTAAAGGGTAGTGGTTATGATCCGAAATTATCAGAAGTGTTACTTGAGATAGATGATGAAGAGAAAGCTTCACAGTTGCTTCACCATAGTGAGAAGCTTGCAGTATCTTTTGGATTGATGAAAATGAAACCAGGGAGTGTAATTAGGATTGTGAAAAATTTAAGATCTTGTGAAGATTGCCACTCTTTTATGAAACATGTTTCGAGTGTTTATAAACGAGAGGTTTTGATTAGGGATCGGATACGGTTTCATCATTTTAGGAATGGAGAGTGTTCTTGTGGGGATTATTGGTGATGAGAAAGAGGAAGGGGTTTACTATTTAAAGAGCATGCTAAGTTTAAAAGCTATCATAGTTTTTCATAATTGATTTTGTTTCTTTTGTATTTGAATTTTCCATTTATAAAATGGCATTTGTTGGATGTTTATTGATTGCGGATTATCATTTATAAGTTACAATAAATGTCGATTAGAAAGCAGGTGAACTATTAAAGGGTCTTTGGTGTAACGGTATTAGAAATTGATGAATAGATGTTCCTAAACCAAATGTTGATATTGACTTCAAAGTTCAAACAACCTTATAACACTTCGGCCGTGCTTGGCAAAAATAGTTAGTAGCTGGTCGTGGGTAAAGTTTTATTAAACATTTATGTGAAGTAGTATTTGGATTTTGAACGTTTTGTTTAAACTAAACTCTACAAGCTTGTAGTGTTAAACGAGATTTTCTGTTCAAAACAATGCGTTTTGTCAAACGCTAGAAGCTAGAAGCTCTCAAACGTTTTGTGCCGAACACACCCTTAGACAAAATACCTATTCATGACTGGCTAAAGGCTAAAACGACTTTTTTTTTAAAGTAATGGCAAATGGGGAATAAAAAAAATGTTGGGGCTAAATGCAAAGTCATGCGTCAACATTAGGGCTAAATGCAAACTCATGCGTAAATGTTGGAGCAAAATGTAAACCGAAAAAAAATGAAAAATCGACATGTCATCATGACCTGTTGGTGACCGGTCAAATGCTCGAAAATGAGATGTTTTCTAAAATATAATGGCAAATGAAGAACAAAAAATAAAGTTGAGGCTAAAATAGAACAATGTTGTATATTAAGTGACTTTTGTAGCATAAACCTTTTAGAATTTCTTAAATTTCACATGTTATTATGTGATACTTTTACTTTTTTATTAAAATCAATTCCAACAATTAATACGACTACTATAATACTCTTTTTAATCTCCTACATTTATACTATATAAATATTTTTTAATATTTGCAAGAATATTGTTCCTATAAATAAGACAACAATAATGTTAGAGCAACTCAACAAGTTTTGAAACACCTTAAAATGATTTTTTTTTTTTTTTTTTTTTTTGAATGAATTGAGTTTGTTTGATTTCCATACATGAACCGATGATATATATATATATATATATATATATATATATATATATATATATATATATATATATATATAGAAAAGTGAATATACCCTTAAGGGTATATAAACTTAGGTACCTAAATTCACCATACTACATCGTTTTGTATCATATAATACATTCTAATTGTCCAATGTTCTTATAATTTAACTTCTAACTTGATTTACTTCCAATATTTTTATAATTTACACATTTATCTTCCTCTTATATAATTTTTATTTTCAACTACAATATATATAGCCTAATAGGTGTTCGGCAAAAATATGTGATGTAAGTGAATGATAATAGTGAAATTTCGAATATCTTCAAAGTAAATCAAGTTAGGGTTGAAGTTTAACAATATTATAATGAATATATCGAACAAAACGATGTATTATTGCGTGTTTGGGTACGTAAGCTTATATACCATTAAGGGTATATTCACTTTTCCCATATATATATATATATATATATATATATATATATATATATATATATATATATATATATATATATATATATATATATATATATATATATATAGGAAGGATCATTTCAAAAAACTCAAAGTTTCCCGAGAACTAAAAGTGGAATGTTAGATAAAAAATAATTCATTAAGGACATGATCGTCATTTTACCAATCTCATTTAATGTTTAAGTTTTTTATGTTATTTAATATATTAATATAAATGTCTAAAAATTTACATCATAAATCAAATTTTTTGATTTTTTTAAATATAGTAATTTTCGTTTTTTTAAATGCAGATTTTTAATTTTTTTTATAGAAAACATGAATTGTTGAAAAAAAATGGATTTTTTTTAAAAAACTGCAAATTTTAAAAAAAAGTCTGCATTTTTTTTTCAAAAAAACTGCACTTTTTCTAAAAAAAAACTGCATTTTTAAATAAAAAAACAACATTTTTTTCAAAAAAACTACAAGTTATTTAAAGAAAGTTACATTTTTTTTTTTCAAATGCATATATGTA